TTATTATAGATACATGAAACATTTGGTAAGAAAATAGGTCATGTCAAATAGGGTAATTGTTGCTCAGCATTTGTTTTTCAATATTTAAAGATAGGCAATATTTCTATGCTTGAACTTTATTTCTGTTTTCATTAAAAACTTTGACTCTTTTCTTTACCTGACATTTAGTAGTGGAAAAAAAAAGGAAGAAAAATCTGTTGAGATCATTGGGAACAAGATGGCTTATCTATTTAGCCCAACTCGTATAGCAAAATAACAAAAAAGTACAATTACCCTATTTCCAAACTTTTTCAACAGTTTTGACTGAAGCATTTCAGTTTTAGTCTCATCACATTCAGTTACCACAATGCACTGAATTCTATTCTTCTCAAGAGAAAGTGTTACTATTATAGGAATATAGATAAAATGCAGTTCTTTCACTGTTTTCAATTGTAAATCATGGATGGCATGATGTCCTCTGGCTGGAACATTGTGATAAAATCTGCATAAATGAAACACCGACAATATCAGTGGCTAATATAAATGACATTTCGAACAGATTTATGCTGGTCTTCTTTTTATTGACTGACTCTAAAAATTGCAATGTGCCAAACAAATTCATGACAAAAATTTACAATAAAATCAGAGATGTTTGGGGGATTCATTTGTGCATTCAAAATGCAAGATACAAGCTCAAGGGCATAAATTTGTCTGTCATAAACAAAAATTAAGAATATTTTTTTTTTTTAATCATTTTAACACAAGCAAGTCAGTAAAGCCACTAAGACACACAGAAGCTACAGAGTTTGAAAGAATATGAGTAAAAGAAAATATTATTTAGCAGAGAAAACAATTAAGAATTAAACTGGAATTAAGAATACAAAAGATAACAATAAACACGGCATTTAAACTTATGAAGACCAAAGTTGACTGGAAACCATGAAGACAGAAGAGATTTCCACAAGTGCGAGAGAAAAAACTGTTAGCATAGAAATTATAGCCACATCTATTTCAACTGTAAAATGATGAGACTTAAATTATTATAAAAAGAGAATGTTTCTAAAAAGAGAATGTTTCAAAAAACAGAGCTACATTTAAAGTTTGACCATATAACTAAAAGAATTGCATACAAGTATTGGCAAAACTGGAAATTTCTACCAACAAAAAAAGAATGGTTTTCCTCTTGAGACCACTATTATTTTAACTACCTTCACTTCTTTGACAATGTTTACTGTTTTAAAAACCTATTATTAGAAATGTAACGAAACCTAAACATATGATGAAAGTTAATTTATACATTATTTTGAGATTTAACAACAAAAATATTAAACACTACTAGATTGTTTATTTACAAGAATAATTCTATATTTACAACATTCTAAAAGATAATACAATGCAATATTTATCATTTACCAATTTATAAAGAAATAAATGAAATCAATTTTTTATTCATAAATTTATAAACATTTACTAAATTGTTAAAATATGTAAGCCAGCTATAAGAAAATATTTATTATTTACTATTTTTTAAAGTTTTAATGGATTGGCAATTAGATGACTTTTTTTCCAACTATTCCAATAAATAATATAAATAAATAGTTTTGCTGATGCTAAACTCCAAGAGAGTTTAGCATCAGCCATCTACAACTTCTTGGGTTCATTGTCGTCACTGACATAAACTGGAGTGACTACAATGAATCAGTTGCTTGGTCTATTCCTATGAAAGTTGCACCAGCTGCTCAGTCAATGAATGCTAACTGTTTTTATAACAGGAAATGACTAATATTAGCTTATATACTGGTTTTTCTATACATAAAAACTTGTAAGAAAGTTTAATTTATAAATTAGGAATAATTAATAATTACAAATAATAACTACTAACAAAATAAATTAAAAATAGGAAAAATATAATTTAATTGAAGTTATGCAATGGAATGGAAAATAATTTCAACCATTGAATACTATCATCACCAACCTCGATATACGATTTTTTTTATTTCTTTTAGAGCTTTGTTTCAGTATAACCATATTTTTAGCATCACTACCATAATTTGGGACCATTATAAATTATTTATAAATTGGTTATTCCTTGGATTGTTTCTGTACAAGTTTGAGATCACAGTGTTTATAGATTTTTCACCTTAAAGCACTTCATGGTACGATGGGTTAAAGTATGTTTTGCATACGATATAGACCAAAATGTTGATATTTTTATTCACTTTAACTGGAAATGACAATATTACACACAAATGAAAAACTTGACATATTAGTCACTTAAGAAAAAATTTTCAGTATTCTTCTTTTATGTGCCATGTCCCTTCACGATGTAGGCAATCATGGCCCTCCACATCTTCCTGACCCTTGTAGCTTGTAATAAGTTTTGTCCTTCTTTCTCCCAAAACCTCTTCTATCATACATTTATTCAAGCTTATCCCTCTTTCCCTCAATCTGCCCTGTGAGTATCAGATTTTCCAAGCCCTCGTTCCTCATGATGTACCCCAGAAATTTCAACTTCTTCCTGATGATTTCTATTCATTTCTATTTTCAACAAAAAATTGTTGTTGCTCAAATATTTGGTTCATGGTATCCTCAACATGTTTCTGTAGAACTACATTTCTGTTGCTTTTAAGTTTCTTCTTCATCTTTGAGGAGATTTTCTAGTATTTGCTGTCATACAGGAGGACTTTTTTTTGTACTGAAACTTTTTGGTCTCTTAATACTCTGCTTAGCTTTAGGAATGCATCTTTGACAATACCAATCTATCTTCAGATATCAGTGTTGCACTTTCCATCCTATGTTAGAACACTTCCCAGATATTTAAATTTTTGTACCTGTTTGATTTTAATATCACCGATTAGTAATTTGAATTTTGGGCTCATCCTTTTGCTGATGACCATGCATTCTGTCTTCATGTAGTTTATACTTACTCTTTTCCATAATATTGTAGCATTTAGCTGAAATGTGTCTAGATGTACTGCCAACTATATGATGCTCTCTTAATACTATTCTGTATTTGATTTCCTTGGAAACATTTTCAGTGTAGTCATTACATACAATACTTATAATGAGTACTTGCATTGTAGCTATGCTGATGCTATATCACAAAGCTAGTGAGCAAACGTAGTAAGCAATTTCTGCATGATCTATAAAACTGAAAAGGGAACCCCAAGAAAAAAATACAGAGTTCCACATCTACAGAATAAAATCTTTAATAATAAGGATAATAATAAAAATCAATAACACCTTTCAAAATATATAAAATTACAAGAATTTTACCTATTCCAAAACAAGCAGAATTTTTGTTAAAGAAATGCTCATTAGAGAACTAAAGCGACAATAGTCAATAGATTCATAAAAGTTCAACTTACATTTTGACTGACTACAAAGTTTCACAGACACACATATCTGACCTTCTGACCCTGATAAATAATTTTAATTAGTCAAAAGATAAATGTGTTGATGCAACTTTAAAGTTAGTCAAAAGATAAGACTTTTATTCATTTATTAACTAATTAAATTTTTATACATATGAGTTTTATCTGAAGTGTGTCTATTTTGAATATCTTGAGAATATATGTTAACAGGTACTCTCTCATGAGGTTACTTAGTGGTGAGATGCCACTGAGTGAAATCATGAACTGTGTGACTGTCATGTTCATAGTGACCATGCTTCATCTAGAAATTTTGGCAAAATAATGCATTGTTCACCAAGTGTGTTACTTTCCCAAAAGTTCAGTGTTTGGCTACCTGCAAGTTCTGACTTTTCACAAAAAGGTCAAATTGCTGCTGAAATGCTATAGACAGGAATAAAGAGAAGGTGGCAATCCTGAAAAAAGACTTCACAGATTGTTTTAAAAAGTGGAAGGAACTCTGTTAGAAGGATTTTTGGACCCAAAGAGAGTCATTTGAAATGGACAAAGGTACTCTCAGCAGGCCTATTTTTGTTGGTTTTGCTTTTAATATTAATGAAGCAGATATTTCTGGACAGATCTTGTGTGTATGAGCATTTGTATGGGTATACAGACACAGATATATTTGTTGTGTGTGTGTGAGTGAGTAAATTTATATAGATATGAATGATTTGTTCATATTGATATTTATAAAGCATCAAAGTGGTTCAAAGTAGAATTAATTGTTGCTCTCATTTATCTTATAAAAAATAAATAAAGTTCTTATATGAATTTAACCATTAAATAAAAGAACAAATGAACCTATTTGCTTATTAGAAATATATCATCAAGAAAGATTTCAATACAAGATCTGATAAACAAAAATATTTTGTTAATTACACTATTTACATTGCTCGGACTATCATCCTCATCTTTGTTGCCATATTTATTACAACGTTTCAGCTGTTGTACCCTCTGGCTTTCTTTAGGTGGTTAGAATGTTGAACTGAACCCTTTATTTCGCTCTCTGGGGTAGACTGTTCTAGTCCCACATACCTTGTCTAATGGATGTCAGTTATCAGTTATCTACTGTTAATTCCCTTCTCCAAGTTCTCCACCGCCTTAACCAGGTACTGAACTCACACTCTTTGGGTCCTGTGCCACAGTGGATAAAGGTGTTAGTTAGATCCAGTGACAGGACCCAAAGAGTGTGAGTTCAATACTTGGTTAAAACAGTGGAGAACTTGTAGAGGGGAATTCACAGGAGATAACTGATAACTGACATCCATTAGACAAGGTACGTGGAACTAGAACAGTCTACCCCAGTGATCGAAATAAAGGGTTCAGTTCAACATTCCAACCACCTGAAGGAGGCTGGAGTGTACAACGGCTGAAACATTGTGATAAATATGGCAACAAAGATGAAGACAATAGTTCGTGCAATGTAAAAAGTTTACATAAGACCTCATTTTGGAAATATAGACAGATGTTGTTAATTAACTGAAATTGTTCATACTTGGCTCACTTTTATCCTTTACAAATATCTGCATGATTCATATGCATGTCTGTGTGTGTGTGTATACCAGTTGCTTAATAAATATATAGGATTTGAAATATTCACAAAAGACTTACACTGGGCATCTTGGTAGATTCCTTGCATCAACGGTGATTTCACGAATTTCTTCTAAGTCAGGACACTTAGCCCCATCTCCTAATGGCATTTTTTCAATTCTCCGTTTTCTGATTTCATGAGATTTATAAATAACTCCATCAGCAGTTTGGCAGCCCTTACTATGTGGCTCCCACCTGTCCCACGCAGAAACTTCACAATCTTGTGGCAGGACACAACTCTGGTAATCCATATCCATAATGTTAATATTCATACAATCTCTGAAAAAAAGAAAAAAAAAGATCACGTTATTTGAAATATAATTCATGCCTCATGGTGTCAAGTTCAGATGAAAACATAACTGGAATAATTAGACATTTACTAGATTAAGCCACTTTTAGCACAAAGCTAACCAATGATATATAAATATTATTCCAACAAAATTGTTTTGGATTAAAATTCACCCAATACAGGCCTCAAGAGCCTCTCAAGATACAGTATTACTGAATGTGGTGTGTGATATGAATGCAAAAGAAGGAAGTATGAAATTAAGATTATGCAAATAATAAGGATAGATAACAGTGAAACATCTTAGCAGGAATTTAAACCACAATGAAACTGTTCTTGGGAAAATAGTGTAAAAGCTGTCTGAGTGAATTACCTCTAGAAAAATGGAATATGGGAAGAATGAATGTGGTTTGACTTTGCAAATGTAGCATGGTGAGTTTTAATTATAAAGGTCAGAGCTGCTGAAACTAAAGAATGGAACTCATTTGAACATTTGCTCTAGAAATAATGATAGAGCAGAAATAGGTTTGCCACATTGCATCTGCAGGGAAAGAGGCTGTAGAGTGAAAAGTAAGTTATCCTCACAAAACTTGTGTAAAAGCATAAAAGCTGGAAAGTGCAAACTAGGCAGCTTCAACTCCAAAATAGCAGCAATACTCCATTTTTAGTCTAATCTGGCTTTTAGAAAGATAAAGCATAACAAAAACAGGTTATGTCCTCTCTGTATGAGTAGAAAGAGCTGACACTATCCAGCATCTTTAGAAATAGATTGTATATATCGAGTCCCACTTCAGGCCTGGTGTGAAGAGTCCAAACAGATATTCAAAGAATGAAGCTTCTTTAAGAGTGCAACTATTCTTCATGACTGGAGAAAACTTTGTGCTCAATTGGTGATGATGAAATGACACTAACTTGCTTCTTGGAATTTTCAAACTTACGAACCAGTTTTCCTCCCATCCTGCTTAATATTCTCATCAAGAATAATCCATTTCATCTACTTAGCTGATATTACCATTCCAAAGGAGTGCCTCCACATCCAGAGACAAGCATCAGTTAGTCACAACAGCATTCAATTGGCTTCACCTAATGAACCAAGTTTACAATGTGTTGACCTCAGTTAAGCCTGGTCAACTTTATTCAATCTCCATAGAAGTGATTACCAACTATTGACATACAGATGGGAATGATGTACTTACAATTATTAAAACTGTTTCTTCTTTTCACATAAAGTAACTATAAGACCATAGCTATAACAAATATAACAATTTTGTCGCAGATAAAGAGAATACTTAAGACAACAGAAATGTTGTTCTACAGAAAGATGCTGAGAATACTATGGATAGAGAAGGTGAGCGATGAGGACATTTTAAGGGAAATAGGAAAAAAATGACACTTGCAATCAGTTGAAATTTCTAGGAAATATAATGTGGAATGAGAGCTTGGGGAATGAGACTGCCGCAGGAAATAAAGAAAGCAAGAGATTCAGTGGGAAATAGTGAGTAACCTATCTAACAAGCAGGTGTAAATGGTTGGCAGAACAGGGACTGTGAGAGATAGTAAGGAAACAAACATTGCTTAAAACTAGAAAGGATAGGAGGTTGGTGGTAGCCATGCTCACCTAAATCCTGAGAGCACATTGCATATAAAAGACAACGGCAACCTGATATGGAGTCTACAAGTTTAAAACTCAGTAGCATTTATTGGATCTAACTGCATGGAAATTAATGGTGTTTGCAATGTGTCCAATACCTCTTAAATAGGTTTGAAAACTTTCTTTGTGTCCCAAGTGAGACAAAGTCACTGATACTGTGGATTTCATTTGTTAATCCATAACTAGGAAAATCAGTGACATGCAACGTACACTGTAGAGTATGATTACTAATAGGTTGAGTGACAACAGCAATAAATCTGGATGTAATTTGAGGCACTGTTTTACTTTGTTGTATGGTTACTATTATATGCTAAATGAAGATGTTGAGGACATTTTTACTACTTTCATGATGAGTTTCTTCAAGATGTTGCATTCAAACTCAATTTGTCACTGAGTGTAACCAGTTCTCATTGGCTCCACTTTAAAAATGCTTCTTCTCCTCAGAGGAGAAAAAATATAGTAGGCTAATCTTACCTCAGCCAATCACACAAAAGTGTACAAATAAACACCAATTGGGGTGCTGATAATTTAAACGTGTTTATGTCAGTTGAAATTTAAAAATGGCAAAAAGAAGCAACTTGAAATCTCCCAACACAAAAGTTATCATCCTTGTCAGTAACTGGTGACTCCAAATCTTAGATCAGTTGTCACTTTAGAGATAGAATACCTCATGTTTCTGACTGTAATACTCATTCTGTGGACAAATGATGTAAACTCTTGCCCATATACCATGTGTCACAGCTACAGTACCTCTTTACCTATTATGCCATGCATACCTGGTATATCCTTGCTAATGTTTTGTAAAAATTCTCAGATCAGCTGCTACTTTGGATGTAGAGTACGTCATTCAGTCTGTGGTCAAATGGTGTAAACTGTTGCCTATGTTCCATGCTTGTCACAGCTACACTATCTCTTTACTTATTATGTTATATATATTTCAATCAGTAGAGTTTATTTCTACAAATGGGAGAGGCATATACTGTAACTAATTTTTGTCACTTCTGTGTATAATATTACTTTATCACACTTTAAATGTTACTTGTTAACTAAGATGTGCATTCTGATGTAATGGATAACAGCTTGGAAAGAGAAATCAGAGAGCCATGTTCAAATTCCAGTCTGGTTTGTTGCATTCACTTACACACAAATACCCTTGGGAAAGGTATGAATCCACCTCTTCTCCCAGCCCTAGGTTAATTAGACTTGTCTAAATAAATCATTATTATCTAATAAAATAAATAAAAAACAAATCTTACAATATAAAAATATCATAAGAATTTCATAATGTCTACAATAAGATGTATGCATGTTATGAACCATATTCAAATTCTATTCAGGTTCATTCCATTCACTTATGCACAAATACCCTTGGGAAAAGTATGAATCCATCTGTTCTCCTCCAAACTATGGGTTAAATAGCAGGACAGATTGGGCCCTGTAATCTTGGATGGCAACCAGTCTACCACACAAAGAAATGATGACCTACTGCAGGAAAATCTTTTGCCTAGTTAGTCATGAATCAAAAGAAACATGATCGCCCAAGTGAATATCACATACAGCACTTAACTGACTGAAATGTTATTTATTCATTTTTTCATTGCAAAAGTAAGATTTATTATTAAATCATTATTTCAAGATATATTTAAAAAAAAAAAAAGAAATAAGATTTAATTTTATGGCTGGTAAGCAGTTCCAGTTATCAAAGAAGACAGTAAAAAAAAAAATTTCAACAAATTCATAATTAATTACACATTTGGCAATGACTACTTCCCACCATTTATTTATTATTTTTTTACAAATACCTGTGATTAATCTACTTTCCTACCAACACTAAATTGAACAGAGTTGTTTTACTTAATGTTATTTTCCAACACAATTGCATAGCAAAACTCATATGAGATAATTATATCAGACTGTTCATCTTAACACAATGAACATCTCACAGTTTTCAATAACAAAATAAAATTCCCTCATCAAGACATGCAAAATGATCAAATTACTATTCTCTAGTTATGAAAAGTTTACATTTGCCTAATGTCATTAACTGGCAAACTAAAGCTGGTGAATTAAAACAGGAAAAAGTTTTGTGATTTACCAAATAGGTGAGAAGTGAAAAAGATTTTCTAAAATGACATGAAATCTGCAAGAAGGTTAATAGGTTCCAGTTTAGGAAAATGTCTGCATAAATTGAAACTTACGCATAAAACAAATTTAGCATGAATTTAAACTAAAAAATTTCTACATAAATTGTAACTTAAAATATACCTACTTAAATTTAAATATGCAAAACTTTTGACAAAAATTTAAATATGTAAAAATTAAAAAATATAAATTTCAAAATTTATAGGTGAATTTAAATTTAAAAACAAACTTAAATATGCAAAAACTTCTTCATAAATTTGGATTTACAAAATGTTCAACATAAATTTGAACATGAAAAACATTCTATATGAATTTAAACCTAATACTTATATATATATATATATATATATTATTAATATTTTATAGACTGTTTCACTGTATCACTGCTCCTAAGTGTGGCTAGACATCTGATTACTTCAAGCCGGGATTAAACCTCGACTGATTTTACATCAGTCAGATATCTTACCTCCAGGCAATCACTGGATGGCAGAAAGGAAGGGAATTTTAACGTTTTTCTCTATACGAAATACACCAGTGTCTCAGAGAACTCAATTCAATTTACTTGAAGAGTAATGCTTAATAGTAGTAGGAGCTGCTGTTTTTTAAAACTCCCTTTCCCTAGAGGGCTCAACTGGATTTCCGGGACCATATATATATATATATATATATATATATAAATATTGATAGTAAATTGTTGGGAGTGTGTTGGCTTTTATGATGCAAATACAGTAAATGTGTGTGTACTTCCTTCATTTACATAATACAAGCTGATATACTCCCAACAATTTTATATATATATATATATAAAGCCAAAGATAGGACATAGAAAAAATACTTAATTAACATAATATCCCATATACCCGAGTAATTTAATGATAATATTGCCTTTTGATATGCTATAAGCTTCATCAGTTTTCTTTTGATTGATTTTGTCAACTTTTATACTGTTTTGCAGTAGTTTTTATTGCTTCTTAATTTTTAGGGTTTGAACACTGTTTTTATTTGTTTTAATGATAGACTATGTTTTACAT